CGAAATCCATCATCTGGGATATCCCTGGGTAATATGCAGTTAGCCCTTCTTACATCGTCGGCTACCATGGTTCCACAAGATCCCACTCTCATCTCCACCAACCAACCCGGCGAATTGGTTCGAGGTCACGATAGTTCATAGCTAATACTGTAGGGCTGCACCAGTGCAACAACGTTTTCTACCGGTGGTTCAATAGTCCACAAAACGGTTGCACTATTGAAATCAAACGGACCGTTGTCGACAGATCCAACTGGAACGCCAAGCGATTATGCGATATTCCAAATCGTATTTCAATAGGTACTAGGTAAGGTATCAGTATCAATATTAAGTTGGTCCTGCGACCAAAGACGCACTAATATGTACGTTCAAATCTATAGCCATCCAATGTTATGTTACCATTTCCTCCTCTTCTGATATCCAATCCCATAGATCATAATCCCGAGACCTGAGTATTCCGTCTAGTACTTTTCCGAACCGTCCCAAAACAGAAGAAAGCATAACTCCACAGCACCGTCATCCCATGAGTTCCTTTTATTTCGATCGGCAGTCGATATCATCATCGCTAAAGCAGTGCGCAGTTCGTGCAAGCATGTTGGCTTGATTTTTTACAGCATGACTGAGGAGTGTTAGAAAACATGATGTAAGAGTTTGGGAGTGCAAGAGAACTAACCTGAGGTATGCTGGCTCATGACAGAGTATTATCGCAAAGCTTGCATCGTCCTATTGTTGGCAAACGAGCTGGGGGCATTTTCCCTTCGGGGGCTTGGGGCAGCTGGGCTTCGCAACGCCAGTAGTGTCATAAGGTCCGCGAGGCATGTTGAAGGTGTTTGTTTTGTGGTTGTTGAGTATCGCAAATAGGTTCGTTGTCCCAGAAATTCAGACAATATGTTGATGAGACGATAGAGTGGCTGCAGATTGTGTGCAAAACAGCGGCAGAGAAAGGCAGAGCAGATAAGATGCAGAGCGACTGGAATTCAAGGGCACGCACAAACAACGAAGAATATTGATGAAAAACCAATGAAAGGGATACTGATCACGAAAAGAAGAATTTATGTCGGGGACCTATTTGTCTTAAATTTCATTTCTGGGAGACTACAGCCAGCACCCCCGTTGAAATTTGGAGGCTCGCGTGGCTTCTAACCTAAGCACCGATGCTTCAGTCTGGTCTGGTCATTAACCAGGCGGTCAGCGCTCTGCTACACCCCTGATAACCTCCAAATACCCCCCTGTGCCTGTGTTTACAGTTACTAGGATCGGCAGGGGCCGTGAGCCGTGAGCCTCTGGGAATTAGCACTGGCACTGGACTGTCGGGAGGACAACTCAAGTATCCGGGCCCTGGACTAGCTACAAGAGGTGGCAACTTGTTTGTTCGGGATCGGGAGCCATTGTTTGTGGCGTTATGTCTATCATCTAGATGAGATGAGAAAGAGAGAAGATACCTCAGACATGAGAGGAGAGAACTCTCCAGTTTGCACTATGGGATCGGAATTGCCAAACGCAGGGCGAGCGAGATGAACCAGATCAAGGGCGTTTGATATGGACCAGGGGTTGTCAAACTCGAAGGGATGGATGAGGATGGGTGGATGGACCAGCGCAGGAGGCTTGTGGGGAATACTAAAAGAGCGGCTTTGGGGACCAGGATAAGGCTTGCTACCTGCTGGGGACCTCTATTCCAAACAGAATTCTAGAAGAGACGCCACGATGAGCATTGGGCTGTTTGGGGACCAAAAGTTCGCTAATACGTTGGGGCGCAAGGGGAGGAAGAAAGCAAAGACCAAGACACAAAAGAGAAGAATAAGAAAAAAAAAGGGACGGTGAGCGATTCAGCTATGATGGCATTTCTCGGTGTGGCATTATGACAAGTCGCCATGGCTGTCATTGATCCAAACGACACATCATTCTGATTGAGACAAGATCAAAAACAGGGAGACAACAAAGGATTAAAAAAAAAAAAGTCAATACATTTAATTACTGACTAACAAAAAGGCAAAAACACTGATTCAAACCAAAAAAAAAAAAAAAAAAAAGCAATAGAGAATAAAACAATACTGTACTGTACATACCTACAATAGAAGCAAAAGCGTATTCGCAACCTCTCATCATCCCATGTCATACCACACCGCACCAGCTGCGTTGATGCACAAAAGCGTCCGTCAAGTAAGTATGTACACGTCTCCCCGGTTCTTCAGGCCGTGTTGCATCAATTTTTGTCTCCCAATGTAAGTTAAGTGACGTCTGTATGCCCACCGCTTCGGGTTGGCCCTAGCCTTTAGCTGAGCTGGTCTATTAGAGTCTCCAGCTCTGTCATGCTAACCATGTTGATGTTGCAGGTTATCGTGTAATTGATGCACACGATGTTGCAGTGCCTACTGTACAGTTACAGGGCCCCTTTCTCTCTCTTCCAAACTTCCATCGCCTAGCCAAGAATCTCCTTCGCACGAGCCAGTTCATTTCCCGGACTACGGTCATGACCACGTTATTATTTCAACCGGGGACACTAAGAAAGACCCAACCGCCTGTCACAGCCCTGCCAGTCCGTCGAGACGAGATAGCCAACCGGGAGTAAATACCAACGGCCGTCTGGAGTTTGAGTTCCCACCATCCTCCGTTGCCCATCGCATCGCATCGCATCGCACCGCACCAACGGCAACGCTGTTGCTTGGCCTTGTAACTTGCTAAATCATCCCAGGTCCACGGTCCCGTGCCTCTGCCGATCGCTCGGATACTGTTCATGAAGTTCCGGGGATTGGGATTGTCTAAGTGGCAAGGAAGATCCCGAGTACGGTTAGCTAGGTGAAGTGAAGTGAAGCAAAGTAAAGCAAGGTATGGGTGGTTATTGGTAAGGGTAAGGTATTATTCCTCCGACATTTGACAGGTTTGGGGCCAAACAACTGCGACACGTCAATGTTGGTATTCTGGGGCCATCCTCTTACACGCGAGCCTCCAAGTTGACAGACAACAAGATGTGCTCAAGAAGCTATCTCTACTGTATTATTTGGGCGGTTCAAGCCCAAGAAGTTTCACCTCGGTCATTGATAATGTCACTGGCAATAAACAAACAGCAATTTGGGCAAGGGTGCTCCGTACAGGAAATACGAAAGACTTTTTCTAAACGGCGCTCGTTGATGAAGGGTCTGAGGGTATGAGATCGCCAATCGGAGTGCGTTCCATGAGGACGGTCCTGTCTTAGTCTTTTTGAAATTCCGAATCCTAACTAATAACCAAATGTACAGTACGGTATCCATCATACCCGTCCTCCTTTTTTCCCCTTCCTTTATTTTCCCACCCCGACCCTGACTGTGGTGGGTGGGTTCTTTAATTCCACGGTACATGGAACCGAAAGAGTCAGATCACCCGGGGCGGTGGTGCTCATTTCTCGATAGGATGTGCTAGACCGTTGCAATGGAATCCCTGCTCGCCATGCGATCAGAGGCAAATCTGAACTGAACGTGGTTTGGGGGTTCGACAGATGCCGTGCAAGTGCCGCATCGAAAAAAGGGACGGGATGTTGCAAAGAAGATGCTGGGGGTGTGATTTACGGATACATCACAAGTCGACCGCTTCTCTGTCTAAGTCAGAAGTCGTTGGCAAACATCCATATGTACAGACACGTTGTCTAGCACGAGTTGAACCCAACCCAGGCATGTCCGGACGCAGGGATCACATTCCCCGTAGGCCCCGGACCGCGGCAGCGTCAGACTCAGAACCGTGGCTCCGGTGCCGACGAGCTAGTCAGCTGGTATTGCTGCCGGGGGAATTACAGGGTTTCAGGATCAAAACTGCGTCCACCTGTAAGGTTGATAACAGTAGGCGAAGGAAAATTCTGTGCTGGCCGAGAATCTGGAATAGGGTTTGGAAGCCCGTGATGGAGAAAAACCCATGACAGATGAACTATGCATCCCAGACCGCCTGTTATTTTCTAGGGATGTGTACCACTACCGGCCGAGATGTCAGATTGGACAAGATCCGCTTTGAACAACGAGGCTCGTAAAAGAAACATGGTTGCTGTGGCCTGTGGGTTCTTCTGCCGTTGGGTTACAGTTCCAGAATATTTCCCAACAAGTCAACCCTGCCAGGCGACTTGTGACTATAGTGTATGATGTTGCACCAAGGGTGTTGCAAGGTACGACATATAGAAATAGGAGGTTTATCAGTATTATGTGGTGCAAGATGAAACGAGTCGAGACTGAGCAATCTTTGCATGTTGTGGGTAGATAATGTTTCAATATCAGGACACCGCCTTGTTAATAACCTCGGGTTAATGTCCCCGGCTGTAAACAGTCATGTAAGGGACAATTGGCTAATGAGATCATGTGAAATATGATCTTTCATTACGACGAAAGGAATATCGGCCAACCTTGATTGAGCTTTCAGCGTCGCCAGCATCAACCAAAGATAGCTCAGTTTCAGTTCATGAACAAACCGAATCATACTTATCTAACTCGGGGTAACATTCATGCTTGCTCATGAACTCAAGGGTCTAAGTCAGGTTCATGCTATCTCTGTACCAACCATGTACGCGAGATCTACCACCAAAAAGCAATGTGCATGCGGAGCAAACGTCCAGCAGCCTATCGTGTTCAAGGTCTTATGTCAATGACTCGCAATATTGATATGCTTTTAGTTTAGGAGACGCAACGTCTATAAACTTTGTATAAGAGTTTGAGAGTCCGAATCAGAATGAGAATCAGGGGAACGAGCTATCTGGCTACGTCCTTGCTAAACGCGAGTCAACGGCTCAAACTACAGCCCAGCTATCTATAGCACCTAGCTCGACAAAGAACTCCACCACTATTCTGATCACTATTTGACAGCTAAGGAGTGTCCTATGAGACTATAGCTCATGTCAATTTACTGAATGAATAGCTTCAATTGCTATTCTGGCATTCAATTGTAAGCCACCTACCTGTAGATGACGGTACTCGCTCTTCACGTGACTTTTACTGCCTGCCTTCCACATACGTTTAGCTCCGCTCGGGCTCTCAGACGTGACCTGACCCCATCTGTTGCTAAACTAAACGCGCCTCGTCTCCAGACAGACAGACATTGACCTCCACTCTTCGTAACTGCTTATATCAACTTCTGCACTGTCTAATACGATTGTCCCTTCGCGATGCCCGCCTGTCATGGCTGCCGAGTACGCAAGGTCAAGTGCGATGATGGAAACCCCTGCTCGCCATGCCGCCAGTTTGATGTGCAATGCATCAGATCCACTGCTCCAAGGAAACGTCAGAACCCGAAGCGCGGGCGTCTTGTAGCCCAGGCCAGAGAAGCAAACCTCCAGCACCAACAGCAAACCGCACTCTCGCCAAGCGCCTCTGTGTCTCCCTCGGCAGTTCACTCAACGCCTCATGCGGCTAGTGAGTGGCCACCAGGGAGTAGCCCTGGTTCAGCGATATCAGGCCCCTATTCGCCAAACTCTGAGGCCTACACCACAGGCTTCTTTCACTCGTTACTGCCCGAGTTTGAGAAGGTGGTTTATCCTTTCAGCCCTGCTATCACTCCTGATGAAATTGTCAGGTCGATATCAATGATGCATCACAACTTTGAGGATGCAGCTTTGATATACGCATATGCAGCTGTTACTACATTTCTATCACAAACCGCGGACAACTCACATGGCAGTGTAGCGGCTCAAATAAACAATCTGGTGTATCACAGTCTCGAAGCACAACACCGTGCTGCCGTTGGCTCCCATGGTCCAGGACGTGTAGATGAGGTGATGCCTCACAACATCAAGCGCATCGTGACATGCATCTACCTCGAGATATCAACTATGGGACTGCCTCGACTCGACCGAAGTTTCAGCTTCATCCGGGAGGCAATATCACTAATTCAGATCATGGAGGCTCACCAGCGCACATTACCAGATCCTACACGGACACCATATCCTATGGCCCGTTTTCAGCAAGTCTACTGGGAAGCCTACATCCACGAGAGATTCCTTACCATCGCTGATGGGTATCCCAGTATCATGGGGCCTCTACACACGAATCTTTCAGCGCCGGACTCTTCTACGCCAGAACATATTCGAGTTGGCTTCAACTGCTTAATAGAACTCTTCCTAACTTTGGACGAGACGTTCCTCGCATGTTGGCAGTCTCAAAGAGGTGCAATCGGCGGATTAACGGTGCAGTGGATTGAAAGCAAGCAAGTACAACTTGACCAAGCTGAGATGAATGCTGCAGCGGCCGAGGCAAGGATGCACTCCGAGGGACACGCAGGTTTCACAGAACTACAGCGTGCGGATCTATTCATCACTAGACTCTGGCTTCGCACGTTGCTCTGGCAATTAGCGCTCTCACAAGGACTTTTGCGTTCAGGGTCATCAGATACGACTCACGAAGGCCTATCGCTGCAGTTCCCAGCGTCTCGATTATCAATACAACTCCGCAGCTTGGTCGGGCAGCTGGATAGCATTGTGAGTATAGCGACGCAAGGCAGCGGTATCATACAAAAGCTCTTTGAGATCGCCAGCACAATTGCCGACGTGCTCGCTCTGCCTTCAGCGCACAGCCAAGCAGAGGACGGACTAAGGCCACATGTCAAGGACTTCCTTTACGTGGTCAACTTTTTGCTAGATTTGGGGTTGATGAGAGAGAACCAAAAGGATTATTTGCGCGAGAAATATCACATGTTGCAGCCGTTGAACACCGAGGGAAGGATGCCTGCACATGCTGGTGAGCAAGCGGTCGCTTCTTAGAATGATGATACTGTCTGGATGGTGTCTAAGTACTTGACCAGGATAATAAACGTTATGATCCTACGTAGTATGTGTAGGTAGGCAGAACAGGATTAGCCATGATGAATGATGATTACCAAGCTTTCCCCAGTTTGACATGCCAATTTTCAGAGGATTGGGTCATTCTAGATTCAGAAGCCTCAAGCGCACTACCTTATGTGACAATTTCAAGAATAAGGTCTTCATCTGCCAAACTGACCTCTTACACAGATAGCTTATAAGTCCAAGAGATCAAGGCGGATCATCCTCAAGGTTTCCGCAGATGCAGGGGTTTTTTACCTCTTGGCGCCACCCAACGAGTCCCACTCTACGACGTCAAACATCAAATCTTTACTGCACCTGAATAAGCCCACGTACCCTAAACCTTGATCACTTTCAACATCAAATATGCATTTTCAACCAGTCGAGCAAATGATCGACGAAGCATATACCGCTCGTCCTCAGGACGCACAAGCTGATACTGCACCCGCCAATGATGCTCTTGACGACGTTTTTGGCTCAGGACCTTCATCGCCCACAGAACATCGCCATGACGATGAGTCAGCTACAGCACACCCCTCAGATATTCGCCGCTTGCAAACAGAGCACACAACTGCTGGATACCGTGAGGGCATTACCGTTTCAAAAGAAAGCAGTCTACAAGCTGGATTTGACGAGGGTTTCAGTCTTGGTGCAAGCGTTGGCATGAGAGCAGGTCAAATTTTGGGCTTGCTCGAAGGCATCAACGAAGCTGTCCGTGGGCTCAACGATGCAGATTCTTCCAAACTCGCCGAGCTCACGAAACAAGCGCACGAAGAACTAAGTACGCAAGGCTTATTTACACCTGAATATTGGTCTGAAGATGGTAACTGGAAATATGAGGTCACTCTAGCTGCGGGGGCCGAAGATGTTGTGTTTTCAGATGTGGCTGATGCTCATCCACTTGTCAGGAAGTGGACGAAGATCGTGGATGAGCAAGTCGCTTTGTGGAAGATAGATAGGAGCATTTTGGATGATGAGACTGGGGTTAGGTTGGAGAGGGATGAACCACTTGGTTCCGGGGCTGCACCGACAGCAAAGAAGCCATTAGATTGGTGAACATAGGAGAATCACCATCACTGCAACGAAGGAATACGGGGGTATAAGTGTGCATGGAAAAGATTGAGGTATGTCAATTGTCTTGTTTGCAGTTCGCTTGCTGACCACGCTAGACTCAAAGATACTGCAAAACCTGAAGCATGGCATGTGGGATTTGCATGAGTTGTCAAAGGGTTAATTTGTATTTGTTGCTACGAGATGCACCCAAGCGCAGCTCTACTGTAGAGAGATTCTCATGGCCCACGACATATTTACCAAACTTCACTCATTGGCATTGGCCTCTGTTAGTACGGTGCAAGCCATCGTGCCGAAAGTTCAAGATCCACTCAACCACTGTAAGATGATGGACACGAGGCAACTGACTAGAAACACATCTGGCTGTGTATCAATTGAGCTATCTCGGTGATACTGAAGCATTATGACACAGAGCAGAGTCCCACTACGACTCCAGGAATCCGAGACTCGAATATTCTCTTATTCGGATCCTTAGTAGCGCATTTATCCACGCAACACAGTGACCAGTCTTGTTGGCAGATCATATCGTGTCACTCTGTGCAGCCTGGTGCTCCAGTTGGCGTTATTCACCATATTCGCTGACACACCGACAGTTCAACAGCCCATGCGAACTCTCTCAGGCGCAACACGTTGACAATACCAGGCACCCGATAGGTAGCAAGCGTCGTAATGCCCTCACTGGGTTGATAAGCGTGTGCAATGCATTGTGATCCTTGTGGCTCGTAGCTGCATCATAGTCATCCTGACACCGCTTCTTTGGTGTTGCATTCTCGAGGTGCCAAAGGACCTGCTGCTTGAAGGGGCAGCGATAACAGCCACTTCAATCGACTGCCATGCAGAGTAGTGACTGTAGCTCGCTGAGCGCATATCGAGGTACGATACTCTCACCCTCGAGCAGGCCACTTTCGGTTCTTCAAGAATACCGTACCATGTAGGTCCGCCTCATACTTGAAGGCCCGTCGATGGGGAGCTCTGTGCGTCACACCAAAAGCTTGTTGATGTCCAAGATGACTTGCCGTTGATCGTGGACCTCAACCATTGACATATGCCTGGAGGGTCTTGACCACATCTTCGATTCGCTCATACTTTCCATAGAGCTCCTTCGTTGTCTCCCAATCACGGCCTTCTCTACCGAACATTACAAGCTTGACGACCCTGCCGTCATTATCCATAACGACTCTGCCACTTCGATCATCAGCCCAAGAAAAGCGAATCTGTTTGGCCTCGATATCAGCTATTCCAACCTCGACAATGTCATCAGGCAGAACCGTATCGTCCATCCTATCGTGCAATCCAAGGCTTCGCCGCAGGTCCGCAGAAACACCAAGCCGGTTGTGATATCGCACAATTTCTCTTCGAAGCGCTCTGACAAAGCGATCCAGGTTCTGTTGGGGAGACCTGTCACTCTCAGGCCGTGGCGCCGGAAGATAACGGGCTGCCAAGCCAGCTATGGGTATCGCAGAAGGCAGAGTATTTCGATGAATGCGCAGGTATTTGGAATTGAAGTATGGTCTGTTAAGCATGACATAGTAAGGGAGCACGAACTGGCTCTTCGACATGACTTCGAAGCGCAAGCCAAGGACATGTCCACCGTCAACTGCGTTGGGATCAGGGTCTTGGACCTTGAAAGCAGTGACAGAGCTGCCTATGCGATACAGACATTGCTGGTTGTATGCTTTTTGTTTGTCGGCTTCGCTGAGTAGTTTCGTACGGGAAGGGGTATTTCGAGACGATAGAAAGCTCTTTGATGGTTTGAGAAAAGCTTGTGTCGAGGGCGCAGCAAGAATTGTTGATGTTTCGATTTTGAGCGACTTGCGCAGAGCAGCAGCTTTTGTATGCATTAGATCATGTTTTGAATGCGCCATTGTAAGTATATGACGACTAACCTTGTTCTTTAAGCGTTATAATCTCTTGATCAAGAAGTTCGGCATCGGTTGGAGCAGCTATTTCGGACGACATGGTTGTTCAAGTGTATATGGGATGAAGAGATGGTGAGTAAGGTTGCTGATGCTGTTGTTTTGTTACATTGTGTTTACAAACAATTGGTTCCTTGGCTACAATTGGTGGAAGCTATGACCGGGGGGACGATAAGATAAGAGTTGTCAAGTTTCCAAAATTTGACTAGCATCGAATGGGATGGGCATGTGACCTCTAATGGCCTTCAGTGCACGGGTCAAAGTATAGGAGGTTATGAGTATTTTTTCTGGGGATAATCAAGTATCCGTATAATGTTACCATTGCTACTGCATCTTTGTTAGCATTTCAGTCATGTCTTGGTCTCCATCTGTAAGTCATCCGCCAGTGACAGACTGGACATGCTCTTATTGGCCATAACCCCGGAACATCATCAGCAGTCAACCCCTGACGCGCTTCCTCTTCTGGAAAGACGCGAGTTCCGAAGAGTCCTTGGCTTTTGGGGTTTGGGTCTGCTAGGTTCACTCAGCGGTTTGTGAGTGTTGCACCTTGTTGGGTACAGGATCAGCTACAACTGTTTCAACGGCTTGGAAACTTTTTTTGTAGAGGGGTTCGAGCATTTCAACCGTTGTCGTTACGTCAAATTGAGATTTATCCTACGTAGTTGACACCCTATCGCCACTGAAGCCTTTCAAAAAGGCCAGCTAAAGAATTAATCATCCTTACCTATCCCCATTCAAGATCCTAGATCCATTTTCAGAAAACAGGCCAATCATATTTCACCATTAAAGGCCACGGTAGCGGGAGCCTGCTAGGTTCCCTTTTTTTACACGCCAAACCGTATCCGAAACGCAGGCCAGTAGTGACCTTCTGTATCTGAGGCCCGCTTCAGATTTACTGGTACCAACCTAGCTCAGTACTTCAGGAACTGACAAATACAAGTCTTCCATTTCTTCTTCATTCCTTCAACTACATTCTCTTACTCACTCAAACATTATTCTCTACTTCTCTTCAAATTCTACTTCTTGGCTTTACACAACTTACAACCCCTATCCTTGAAATTCTCCATATTAAACGTCACGACAAGACATCTCGAACCCACCCGCAACTGACTTTGACGCTTTTGACGCCTCGTCGCATTCGTTCAACCCCCCTTTACATCCTTCTACGGTACTACCACTCATTTATACTGTACGCGCCGTAGTCTCGACTCTCCTTTACTCTTGGCCCCTATGACCGCCAGGGCTCGACGACCTCAAAACAAACCCGCCCGGCCGCCCCTGACGATCAAGACAGAAGCAGAGGATGCGAATGGAAACGGTCATCTCAACGGCAACGGCAAAATGAGCAGCGGAGTAGAGATGCGCCGCAAGGCGGCCAACCCAGACGCTGATAACGTCGCTGCCAACTTCATCAAGAGCGAGTCCTTTTCCCTCGACGATCCGATTCCGAAGACCCCTTCTCTGAACAATCACGGTTTCTTCGACCTTCCTCGACAAGACCAGAAGAACTTTCTCCTCCTAGTGCTTCTATACTTCTTGCAGGGCATCCCTATGGGCTTGGCCACAGGTTCTGTGCCTTTTTTGCTAAAGAACCATATGTCGTACAGCGAGATCGGTGTCTTCAGTCTTGCTTCATATCCTTACTCTCTGAAGCTCTTCTGGAGTCCTTTCGTGGACGCTGTTTGGAGTCCCAAGATTGGTCGGCGCAAGACATGGATCGTCCCAATCCAGTTTCTCTCTGGTTTCGGCATGCTCTGGCTGGGATCTCATGTTGAAGACATGATGGCATCCGCCGGTAAACCTGGCGGCATGACAGCGTTTTCGTTTATGCTTTGGTGGTTCTTCCTCGTTCTCATGTGCGCCACCCAAGATATCGCTGTGGACGGCTGGGCGCTCACTCTCCTGACGCCTGGAAATGTATCCTACGCTTCAACTGCGCAGACTGTTGGTCTTACTGCTGGCCACTTTATGTCATACACTGTTTTCCTCGCCTTCAATGCCGCTGATTTTGCCAACAAGTGGTTTAGAGCAGTTCCTTCAGATGATGGTCTTCTCTCGCTAGGAGGATATCTCAAGTTCTGGGGTTGGTCATACATCATTGTTACCATTGGACTTGGCCTTTTGAAGAAGGAGGACAAGTCGCAGAACGAAGATGGTGTCTGGGATGTCTACCGCATCATGTGGGGTATTCTCAAGCTCAAGAACGTCCAAACTATTATCATTGTTCATCTGATTGCTAAGATTGGATTCCAGGCTAATGACGGTGTTACAAACCTCAAGCTCCTCGACAAGGGCTTTGGCAAGGACAACATGGCGTTGACGGTTCTCATCGACTTCCCATTCGAGATTGGCTTGGGTTACTATGCTGGAATGTGGTCGCAAAAGTATACACCCATGCGCCTTTGGTGCTGGGGATTTGTGGGTAGACTTGTTGCAGCTCTCTCCGCTCAATTTGTCGTCGCCATTTTCCCTGATGAAGGAGTTACATCTTGGTATCTGTTGGTGGTTATCGCTGAACACCTTTTCTCAACATTCACAAACACCATCATGTTTGTCGCTGTCTCCGCTTTCCATGCTCGAGTGTCTGACCCCGTCATTGGCGGCACTTACATGACTCTCCTTGCAACGTAAGTAACACCGAACTCATACGTCGTGGCTACGAAGCTAACAATTTCTAGTGTCTGCAACCTGGGCGGCACATTCCCCAGATATTTCGTACTCCGGCTCGTCGACAGCTTCACTGTGGCTACATGCGAGCCTGGCAAGTCAGATGCCACGACAATCAAGGGCACGCTTATCAAGGACGCCTTCTCATGCGCTGTGCAGTCTGAGAAAGAGAGATGTGAGGCTGGTGGCGGAACATGTCACATGATTCATGACGGATACTACACAGTGAACATATTATGTGTCCTGTTTGGTGCTGCAACTTTCTTCTGGTACATCAAGCCAAAGGTGTTGCATCTCCAGAGTCTACCTCTGCGGGCATGGAGATTAGCACCGGGAAACGAGAACAAGCGATAAATCAAGAGGAGGGAGAAATCTAATGTTAATTTGGCAACATGTACAAGTAGTAGATTGGGAAGCACGCGCTGCAGTGCTTGATACCCGCGGACATATTAGCACAATATACTTGGATGGTTGCTCATTCACAAGATAGTAGTCCTGATCGGTCAAGTCACAAACGCTTGTTTAGTTATTACCCTAGTTCTAATGGGTTAAATAGTCTGATATTAATACATAGCTTCAACTCTTGTCTCGACAATTCCCGATAAAGCCAAACGCCATACAATTTCTATATATGATGCCCAGCTTGCTATAACCATACCTACCCAAACCAACTCCAAATTCTAAAGTCATGATGCTCTGCTCGCTATGTACGGCACCAGGCGCGGAGGAATGAAAGCACAACCCATGCATACACAAAGATAACGGAAATAAACGACACAAACAAGACACTCAAGTACAAAAAGTCAAGCCATACATCGCCCCATGTCTCCCCGGTGTCTTCCTCACATCGCCTGTGCTCCTCTACAGTCGAGTAATCGTAACGGTCATTCAGGTACGAACCGTGTCTGTAGGGATGTCGAGCAATAGGTTGTAGTTTATCAACTGGGTTTGTCACCTCAACCCTTGGTGATCTGGGAGTGGGTGGGAGAAGGTGAATGCGCTCACTCGGACGCATATACAGACCGGGACTGTGGCTCTCAGATGAAGTCACCGAACTGGGCTCAGACGATGATGAGCTGCTCCCATACGGAGGTGCTTCAAATTGCCTTGCCAGTTCAATGCCTAGCGATCTAGGGAAGACTTTTCGTACTCGAGCCGGAGTATGATATTCTGAGGTGGGTGATGAGCTATACTCAGACGATGGGTTGCTCTCAAACGGGAGTATTCCCAAGCTTGAAGACATAGGCGCTCTAGATCTCCGAGAGGGAGGTTCAAGGATATTAACCGAAGGACGCTCAATCTTAGGGACAGGATGCAAGCGAGCCCTCTGTTGTCGGAATTGTTCTCCCCAGCCCTCACCGTTATCGGTGTTGCCAATCAAAGCGCCGAACTCTGCTTGAATCTCTGCAATGGTAGGACCCTGAGTTGATATAGAACTAACAGGGCTGAAGAATTCGCCGAAGCTGGAGTCTGAACCGAGATCAAAGGGCTCAGGTCTGTTGTTGCGAGGACGCTGAGAGAAGAGTAGGGTACGGTATGGTTTGGTGCCCGAACGGAGGGGAAGAGGCTCGTGGTAGTGCTCGCGACCGCTGGGATAACTCATACTGGTGATCTAAGTATTGGAAGGTTTTAGGAGAGTAGCGAGAAGAAGCTTTGGGAGGCCTGTTGGAATGGAGATAGGTGTGATGGGAGTAGTGGTCGTCAGTAGATGAGGCCTACAAGCAAACAAAAACCTCAGCTCTGCTGTAGAAGATTTTGATGTGAATGAAGCGCCAAGATACTTTGGGTTGGCAGACTGAAGATTCTTATACAAGCACGGTTTAGTGAAGAACGGGAACAGCGGGAGTGTGGGCGGGAGGATCTTTGAACAAAGGGCCTGAACATGAAGAGGGTGTGGTGAATTTGCTGTTTGTTCCATAGATGGACTACTGCTCTTTGAGGAATTTGTTAAAGATTCAGGCATGTCCTAGGGTTATTAAACTAGTTGATTTGTGAAGAAGACAGATTGAACGAACGAACGTATAGTAGTGGGAATGTTGATGTGGTTGATGTTCTTTGATGGAGGGTTGGGTTCACTTGGACAAGTTAGGATGTTAAACTGATAGATCATACCCAATGCTATGAGTCTTTGTTCAGCCAGAAACACTCATATTTCACTTATCTAGGACTGCCAGGTTAATTGTCACCCTTGAATAAGAATTCACTGCTTGGCCGTTCCAGGTTCTTATATAATGCCATCCATTCCTACACTTCCTACACTTCCCAACACACATTTTGACCCCAAAGACTGTAACTCAACTCAATGTCCCTGGAAATTGAGTGACGCGTTGAACCGAAAGTCTTCAAAGTCTACCAAGCCAGACATTCCCAGAAAGTCAAAGTTTACAGAAGTCTTTGACGAGCCCATTCCGTCTGAACTTCTCAACCATCCTCTCTCTCAGCCCCCTCCCCAACTTTCACCTTCAGCTTTTATCGTGCCTGCTTTAAATATGAACTCTAGGTCTAGCTCTCGAGGAGATACTCCTGGCCCCTCAGGGTCTCGTCCTGGCTCGAAGGCTGGGAGTCAGCCTCACAATGAATCCATCGATTCGAGAATAGAGAGTCCAGTAGGTATGTTTGGCCCCCCTGAGAACTCTAGACTGCCTGATATATCCGAGTTTCGCTCACCTGTTGCTGGTTATTTTAGTCCAGATCTTAAACTCCCAGGAGAGCAATCGCTCCAGCCGGCTCAGAGCTCTGAGCGCAATATGGAAACCGAGGAAGCTCGACCTATCTCTTCCCCGCAAGCAGTAAGCCAAAATCACAGAGAGCTCGTCGACTCGAGAATTTCCAGTCCAGCGGGTATGTTCGGAACCCCTTCACCCCTACAACTGTTCAGTGTAAGAGAGTTTCGCTCACCGATCGCAGGTTACTTTTGTCAAGATTTTAACCTCTCAGGATCGCAGTTCCTAGAGAAGGTTCAGAATCAGTGTGAAAAGATGGACGACATAAAAGCTCGATATGAAGATCTCTGGCTTTCAACTCAGTTGTTCTGGGACCTTATGCTTCGAATGCAGCCGAACTGTGTCATTTCTGATGCCGGGATTCTCAGACAGGCTGTTGATCTTATGCTCGATGTTGTTGTTGGTCGCATGCTCCCTCAGCTTCGACCAGAGTATCACCCAATCCTCGCAGAAAGCCACCTCCAAGCACTTAATCGCCGTCTTCGTGTTCTGGAACTTCGCCTTCGAACAGATATGGTGACGTGCGGTAAGTCACCCAACATGCTTTGCGGGTGTGTCATTCCTTTAAAGCGTCCCAACAACAAGAGCAAGCTCTGGACGCGCCACTTGACAATAAAAAAAGACGAGAAGGGCCGCTCTGAGGATCGAGGGTTCAAACTTCGTGATTTGGCTGGTCTTCTCCGCCTTGAAGACTTTCTCACGCATGTCTATGGTGAATTCGCACCCCAACTGAGCCCAGGAAGTCCAGCAGCAGACTGTGGAATTATTCACACAGCTATTGCTCTCATGGACGATGAGATCAAGAGGTTTCTACCCAAGAAGGATTATCGTACTGCTGATGAGCTTCGAGCTGAGTGGATTTATGTCCTTTGCCATTGGGATTTTCGCGCCGCTGTCGTGCTTGAAGTCATGGGGATCGTCACCGATGCTGTGGCTTTCAGTAAGAAAGATGGGAATCAAATACATCGGGAGGAATGTGAGCTTTGGATCCCTGAAACGGTAACTGAACCACTCACCACGGCTGCACGTTTCAGAAAACTGGCGACGTTCCAGGCTGATCCGAACCGTGGAATGAGTCCTCTGCATCCTTCATATTGGAGACGGGACTCTAAGAGTTCGGTGAAGTCTTCTGTGAGTCGGGGTCGTAACGACTGAGAGAGGTAAACGATTGTTGTGTATGATAGAGAAACACGGTGGTTGTTGAGGTATTGCTTTCCTTTATTAGGTCTAGACATGGATAGGATTGACTCTTGATGGGCTTAGACTTGCCCTTTGGTACCTGGATAGAAGAAATTGACATCGAGTTGGACTTAAAAATGGAAATGATTAGGAAATGAATGACAATAAAAACATAGACAACACCTCCCAATACTCTGCCGTGATCCCATCATACCCGTCATAGCTCTCATGTAGTCGAAGCACATCGCCCAATATCATATCCCCGACAACGCCTTCATATTCCCATTCGTGATCCCATCATTACTCATAGTAGAAACACATCGCTCAACTTCTTGTCCCAGCTACCTTCATCGCAAAGTTTTCTCATTACATCGGACAAAGCATCACAGTGCCCTTCAACTTCCTTGTCGTTCATTTGCGCCGTATCCCAAGAAGCAATAAAATACAGGTTGATTGAATCGATCATAAACGCGTTCCAGAAAAATTCACTATCGACGTGTTAGTTGTAGGCCCAGAAGGAGAGAGGTTTGGGCTTACCAGTCAGGCCAGTCATAACGAGCAATGGGCTCAAGAGAAGCGAAATTGGATTGAGGCCCTTTTGCAAGACTCATGGCTAGGGAAACATCCCAGACGAAAGACTGTCTGAATGACGCATCGACTGCAGCTGGTCCTTCGTCGCTGAGGTTTTGAACAACTTTGTTCCAGGGAGCATGTTCGTGTTGCTTTGTCTCTTCACTCTCAGCCAGCATGCGCTGGAGGAACTCGAGCACAGTCTGGTTGCGGGTGACTTCAGTCATGTTCAGCACCCACTGAACAGTAGGACCGTCAATACTCATTGCTGGCGGAAGGAGCTTGTCCATCCACTTCGGAATGAAAGGCCAAGAGCGTGCGCTCTCCCAGACATTGAGCAGTGCGTGGGATGAACCAGTCTGAAGAACGTTGAACAGTACTATGGCACTTTTGGTGAACAGTGACGGATGGATGTTGTGTTCCTCCTGTAGCTTTGTGAGACCCGACAATGCAAGGACTCGACCAGAACGTGGGTATTGGAACTCGTGTGCGCGAGTATCCCATTCGCCATTCCAAACTTTATCACGAACCTTGCGACGCTCTTTTGCGAGTGGTGAGCCTTCGTCGTTTGCAATCATCACGCCAGGGGCTTGCTGAGGTGGCCACAAGGCGTCGCTGAAGCGAGAGACGCCGCGAAGTTTACGTACATGGAATGCGATGTTCTTTTGCGCAGGCTCACTACCTTCATACTGCGTGAAAAGGTCTGAGAATAATCGATATGGGGTCAAGGCTGGAATATCAGCGTTGATGTCTTGAATCCAGTGATCGAGCTCGTGATACCATTGAGTAATCGAAAGCGCATCAATAACAGAGTGATTGAACGTGAAACTCAGAAACAGCTGACCATCTGACATAGTTCTTACAACATCAGTTTGAAACATGAAAGGCGATGAATGGCCCTGCGGAGAATCATCTTTGAAGATGCCCCACGCATCATCCTCAGAGTCAACCTCAACCTCGTGAACAAGCTGATCAATAAGTGCGGAACTGGTTGCCAGTACAGCGTGAAACGGGACACGATTCAAGGCAGGGAACACAATCGTCCTGAGCATCGGTCTCGAGTCCAGTGCCTTTTGCAGGGCGCGCAGAATCTGATGCTGCGCAACGTTGCAGACGCGAAACACCATGCGGTTGTGGTAGGACTGCGGCCGTGACCCGATCGCCGTCCGATGGAGCGAGTGTCTGATCGGTAGAACGTCTTCTATGTCGGAAGGGGAGAAGCCTGCGCGTACTACCGCTCGTTTTGCAAAGAAGAACGTGTCCTTCTCTTCGGCAGGGGTACCCGTAAACCCAGAGCTGAAGCTAGAGGTTTGCGCTTGTTGTCTGGATGAGGGCGGATGGTACTTGGGGACTTCCGGGGTAATGACAAGGCGAGCTTGTTGTAGCTTTCGAGATAATAGAAGATGGGCTTGCTTCTCGACTGTATCGTTCTCGACAAAGTCTTGCAGGTATAGTCTTTGGCCGCAGACGCGAAGCACATGATCACAGTAACGGAGCAAAGTAATGCTGTCGGCGAGATACTTGAAACTCTCCGTCACCGAGGGCCGAGTGCCAGTGAGTTGCTCGCAGATATCAAGCAGCTTGTCGACGAAGGGTGGTGTCGATGCTCTATTGTTGAGTTGAATCTTGGGTGCGCTGTTCGCTTGTCGATGCTCTAACACTTGCGCTTTGAGCTGTTGCTTCTTGACTTTGCCGAGAGCTGTCAACGGAAACCTCTCCAGTCCGAGCTCTTGTAGGGTGTAAACGCTGTCGAGGGCATAGCGTTGGTCGGCTTTTCTTGCCTTTTCGATGACTTGCGTTTTAGTCATGTTTTCGGGTAGAGCGACGATAGCAATAGGAACTTGGCCAGCCAGATCGTCTGGCACCCCGATGACTTGGACCTGTCCAAGAGTTAGTAACAGGGAATGCATGGATTTATGTTCAACCTGCCTGCAAGCCATCGAGTTGCTGGAGTTCCCGCTCGATGTTGATAGGGTAAATGTTCTCTCCGCCACGAATAATCAAATCCTTGTACCGGCCAAGGATATACACGACGCCCTTTTCATCGATCCTGGCTTGATCTCCAGTGGCTAACCAGTTGCCCGTTTCATCAGTGTACATGGACCCATCAGCACCCCTGTTGAAATATTTCGTAATGACAGATGTCCCGCCAATGTGCAATTCTCCGATCTCCGATCGAGGTAGTATTTCTCGTGTTTCGGGCCGGCAGATCCTCACTGCCGCTCCTGGAAGAACCTTGCCAACACCAGGATGCCAGCCATCTACCAGATCGGGGTCATATCGTTGCCAGGTGATGATGGGAGCGCCTTCGCTCATGCCAAAGACTTGGATGGCCATCTGGGCACCTAAACCTTCGCGACTTAGTCGAATGTCTTCTGCGCCGATAGATGTACCGCCGATGGTGACAATACGAAGATCGAGTTGATCTGCACTGGGAAAGCTGGGATGTGCCATGAGGGCTTTGACGAGGGTGGGAGTGGCTGACATGATGGAACACTTCTCTTGCACAAGGGCCTTGAGAGTGGCATCCACGTTGAAAGACGTGGAGGGAAACACAGCAGTGCCACTCCAGCGCCATGCGCGAAGGGCGTTGTTGATGGCGAAGACGTGGGAGACGGGCGTGTGGATAAGCCATCTCAACGGTCCCATGGCGTTGACTTCGGGGTCAAAGTCGCAGCACTGGGAGATGAGATTGCGGTTCGTGTGCCAGCATCCTTTAGGGTCGCCTGTTGTTCCGCTTGTGAAGATGATTAGTGCTGGGTCTTCGTCTTGGTTGTAGTCAACACTATCTGTGATCGTGCGTGTCGAGTCCTGTTGCTCTGTAGGGTTCAAAAGACCAGACAGCTTGAGCCAGCTATCGAGGTCGCCCCCTGCACACAGTATAAAAACACTTGACTGTGAAATCTGGGCGTCAGAAAGGTCAAGAGCCTTTGCGCCCTCTGCATCTTGTGCCACCAACACATGTGGCTTGACGGATAGTATCGTCTTCTTTGCATCTCGAGGAACTGTTGCGTCAAGGGGCACAAAAGCCATGCGAATCTTGGCCGCTGCCCAAAAGAAGAGACCCCATTCAGCACAGTTGCCAAGAACGACGGCTAGTCGCATACCCTCTCGACAGCCCAACCTTTCTAGGGACTCGGCGAGTCGTTCTGCCTTGTCTTTCAGCTGCGAATAGCTCCATCTTAGGTATGACTCGTTAGTGCCATTGGGTGCTTGGGGATGGTCGTTCGACAAGTGATTGTGTGGTTGCCAAAGCGAGACGATAGCATCTGCGTCTGGACTCGAAAGAGCAGCGTCTTGGAAAAGATCCCAGAGCGTAAGGTGCAAATCGAGAATAGGATGACCAAATACTTCAGAAACAGTAGTCTCGTTGTTTGAGGCGTCGATCGAGTTACCCTCCTGTGAGACAGTTGGCTCCATAGTGTGTGGTGTAGGTAGTGTAGTATGGTGTTCAGGTGAAGAAAAAGCAGAGAGTGGGAAAGGGAAGGAAGGGTAAGAGAGGGCAGAAAAAAAGAGGCTGAATCAGAAAACGAATATTGAACACGCATGTAAGTGGTACAGAGACCGATGAAAGATGATCAGCATAAAGTAAAGGGCCATGAAGGGAATATTGCAGGGTTAAATACGATCCCTAGAAATTATCTGCTGAAAACCAAAAGTAGACGGTCCTCAGAGTGTACAGCATCTGAGCATCTACCCATTTTGACACTAACACCAATACTAGGCACAACCTACACTGCACTACGATACTGACTTGACTCGTTAACCATGTAAGATCATTTGAAAAGAGTTCAATGCAACCTCAACATACAACAAATCACAGCAGAAAATAGAAGGATCCGACAGCTTGGTCCGCCCGAACCCGGCTGACACTGTACACGTCGGAGAGAGCTCATAATAGTAGCACAGATGGCGCACCCGATCCAATCACTATCTCGAGTCTACAGCCACTCGCCCTGTGAGCCAACGACGGAACCGCATGTATTATCGTCTGGAAGCACGACATCAGCTCTCCCGGGGTCTTGCTTCTGGTCTGCTGCTGCTGTTGTTGTCTTATTCATGACCTTCAGGTTGCAGGATCTTTGAGCACGGGGCATGGGTGTGTGCGTGCTTCGACAAGTACGAACTAAGACATTATATCTGAGACAATAGTACTAATGCGGACGTTTGGGAAACAGGATGATCGCCGTAATCTGCCGTGAGGCGGGTTTTGACTTGTTGTTTGCCGGAACATCAATTCTTCACGTTTCCAACTGTTTCAATCTGATATTGACATATCATAAATCCTGAATCTTATCAGACCCAAATTCTGGGGACCCAATGCCTCTATGCCATTTTCCACTTGTATGCACCCATACCCTTGTGAACCTTCAGTACTGACAAGTGACCTTTAAAGCCTCACTCTT